CACGTAGGATAGCTAAATTATTTGCAACATAAATTTGATTCCAATTTGGTATCCCTAAACAAAAAGCTCATAATTTCAGCCTCTATATCCAAATTAAAAGTACCCCAGACACTTGGACCACGAAATGAAAAAATGGTGCTATCCTACAGGAGGGCCAAACCAACCTTAATTGTTTTTTAGAAAGTCACTATTGATATGACTAGTTTTTATGGCGCAGTTGTGATGTCTTTCAGAAAGCATCATATGGTGAGGCTTCACAACTTTGAGGCTCCATTGGACTTTGACACTTAAACTTGATGGTTAGATGGATATGAAGATGGGATATAGATACAATATAATATGGATATTATATATTTTTATCTTTCGGAAAAATTTCATATTTCTATGTTAAAAGAATTATTTAATTTACTTCAATGCCCTATTTTTTTATAAAGAAAATGATATATTTAGTCCCCACGTTTCTCCGCGTATCCTTAGAGTACCAATCATGTATAATTGACGTATCTTTAAGGTATCAACAAATATTTTAAAAATATTCAAGATATATTTAGTCGTATTACGTATCAAGTCATATGTGAGACATATTTGTATCGATACATGTCATGCCATATCTTAGACATTTGTATATTCGATACATAGAGGATATATATATTTTAGTTTTGTTGATGATAGAGGCTGTGGTGGTGGTACATGGAGTAGATCTGGTTGGGTAGTTCAAGAAAAGGTAAAATTAGAAAAGTAACAAGTTTCAAACTTCTAACTCGTTATAATCATCTACCAACGGGCCTTTGGTCCAATAGTATTTTTTATTTTCTGAAGGTTTTGCCTTGTTGATATCAAGGGTTCAAATCCCCCCTCCCCTCTCAATCCCAAAAAAATAAAAAATCATTATAATCATCTACCAATTTGATCCAATTTAGTGTTTATATTTTAGTACATATGTGATGTGGAATGGAGTGAAGTGAAATTGATGTGGAGTGGTACATAAATGTAAACTTTGGACTTTTATTGTACAACACGTTTTAAAGCTATATAGATCTAATCCAAAACGGACAATATTATATAATACGAATTGAGGACGTTACAATTGGTATTAGAATGATTGACCCCGTGGTGTGGAGGCCACAGTGTGCACCCCGGTCTGGCAGGGCAGTGGCGTTTAGCCTTTATACACATTGTATACGTTTAGCCCGTTGTATCTTTCAATTACTAAAAAAGTGATCAACTGTCGATTAACCTATGGCCATCAAGGACAGCACCACTCTCTAAATTGGTGTGGGACCACAAGGTAATTGGGGGTAAAAATCTGCTACATAGGACTCCAAATTTATACCTCTTTGTATAGGGAAAAACAAAGAGTTGTTTACTGTGTAAGAGTTAACGAGTATAAATTTTTATTATACGAAAAATAGAAATACAATATTGAAAAATAATGTTTTTGTACCGTAGTTGGACACAATATACTACACTAAACAAGCGTAAGTGAGCTGCATCAATCGTCCACATGCCTGGCAATTAAGACATCCCGCACTTTAGTTGTCAACACTCAAACTACATTTTGCTATGGGTAAATACGGCTACAGCCAATCTCGAGGGTAGCTCATTCTACACCCTAGTTCTTTTTTGTTTTTTTGATCTAACCTAGTTCTCAATTGAATCCTTATGAAGATATTTGGCAGTAGGCTTCTTCCCTTAGAAATGTCAATGTTATCATGTAATATATCTTGTTATTTTTGGATTTGAATCAAAAGTTCCCTAGCACATAAACATGACGTTCAATTGATGAACCTAAATTCCTCCACATTCCCGCTCGTTGTTGATTGTATTAAGTGTTAAATATGACAATATTTTTTCTGATTGTAATCGAATAGGAAACATATGTGTAGGATGCAATTAACTAATTATTTGTTGAAATTGAGATGAAATTGAAAAATAATTTCTTTATGGGAATGATGGCTGGCATTGAAATATCAGATTGTATCTTGATGAAAATTATGGGAATGATGGCTTGCATTCTAGAAAATACGAAACCAAGAATATCTAGACACTTTTATATCCTACTCTAGTGGGAAAATAATTTACCACTTCCCCTTTCCCTATGTAATGGTAGGGGCGACAGAGATCAAACGCATGCTATAAAGGTTAAACAACTTCCGAATAGTTTGTGTTTTCTTGTTTTTCATATTGTCTAAGCTCAAATATTGAATGTATGATTAGTATATCATACAAGTAATATTTAAGTCTTGTTAACACATGCACGATCTCTATATTATACCTCTTAAACACGATATGTTCAAATTATCCTTTTAATAACCAGATCGTGTTAGTGTTAGGTCGATTGACACGATTAATTAATTGAGTGGTATTCATGTTAGTGAAAAGGCATTGCTAGTATATGTATATATGTGAGAAAAATCTAAAACTTGAAAGTTTTAGAGATTATGTGATTTAACAATTTGGGAGTCAAAGTTATATGCTTTCTTCTTCAACGTAACAGATTTTATTTCTTTGTTTTTTAGGGATATGTTCAAAAATTTTGGGAACCTTTTGAAATTTGAAAACTAAAATTAAAGAATTTTAGTTATTTTATCTTAGAAAGTATAAAAATTAAGAAAATTTGATTTTGCATTGGGTTTAATTTGGTTAGGTAAGATATGTTTGATGACAAATATAAAATTAGAAAATATTCATGATTTACGGGAGTAAATATTGAATGCAACGGTAATACCATGTCACCATTAAAGACATGGTATCACCAACGAATAATAAAATCTTAAATAGAAAAAATGAACTCTATTTGGGCTTACATGATGGTAGGGTGGGAAGTTATTTGCTCACTTGGCATGTTAGTTATTGATTTTTGTGGGATTCATGTGTTTATTTATTTTAATATTATTAGTTGGCGCGCAATAGCATATCACCTTGCCATGTGGTTTCATTGTTGTTATGAATCTTTTCTCGATTTAAGGGAAGCACAAACACGTCAAAAAAAAAATCTAAAAAAGTCAAAATGTCTACCTGGGCACAATGAGATTAGGAAGGTGAGGACTAATTTTATGATTTATATACTTTTCGGCCAATAAATATTATTTGGTATACCCCTTCACAATTATCTAGATTTATTTTACACCCAACCCATATTGAACTAACCCATAACCAACCCAAGACGCCTATTTGCAATCTCTATCTATTTATAACTTTTAAATGTCAAATTACGTCTTTTTAAAGTAAAATTATAACTTAACCTAAAAAATAATAACTTTATAATAACTTTGTGTGTGGTATTGATATTTTTTATTTTTATTTTTATTTTTACTGTATAATTACCCATAATTGTTCTAGTGGGCAGGCAAAGATTAGTTAATGGGGATTAGAGATGATTGATGTACTTAATCCATAATTATTTTGATATGTTGGTAAAGAATAATTAATGTGGATATGATCCAGATTCAATGAGATGGAAATAAAAAAAAATGTACCTGATTAGAAAAATAATTGCTGCCTCTGTTTTGTATAAGACTTGGAGTAGAGTGACCAAAATTAATGAAGTCCTTGGCCCCGAATAGAATCTTTAACATATTTTTTTTTCCAAATTAGATTTTCAATTTAAGTTATTAAATTAAGTACAAACATCATTATTCTTTGAAATTTTTATTGTGTTACAAGTTATTGTCAAAATGCCGTCAACTGTTTCCAAAAACAGCATCACATGAATCTATAAATGCTGGTTCAAATTTTTTGTTTTTAATAGAAAATATTCAAACACTCTTTAATTTATACTAGCTGGTGCATACGTGTGTTACACGTGCCTCAGTTTGAAGTACACGGTGTAATGGTTACATCCAATATTATTTCCACAAGATATAGTTTCAGAGAATTGTTAATTAAAAATGGTAAGCAGTCTGGGTTGGACAAAGTGATCAACAGGACACTCAAATTGTTTATGGATCCAAGAACATCCAATATTATTTCTACAATTATTCTAAGATAATTTTATCATTATTCATTACAAGTATGTTTATATATATACATAAGCAATTTTTGATCAAAAGAGAGAGTATAAGGGATAATAAAAATGATAAAAATTCATTGTGATAATATAATAATATAAATCACACTTGTCGGCTAGCTGACTAGGACATATATAATGGAAAAATGATTGAGGGTATTCTAGTCTATTTATATAACAAATGATAATTTTGGCATTTTTACAAAATATTTAGTCAAATTATTACTTTATCTACTGGCAAAGGCAAAAGTTACCGTTAAAGGGGTGTCATTGATTTGAAAGTATAAACCCAAAGAATGTGCAATGAAATTTTAGAATCGGGAAGAGGTGTCGTTAAATTTAAATCTAACTATAGAGAGTGTGGATGAAATTTTCTCTAAAATATATATTATAAAAGTAGCTAAAAGTTTGCTGGTGAGATTGCACCAAAGTGATACAAATTGAGAAGCTGAGGGATCAATTTAACACAATTCAAAGATTGGGGACTAAATTGACACAAAGTACAAATTTAGGGACTGGAAACTTATTTTATTGTTTTTGTTAAATTCACCAGTTCTACGAAGTAACGAGAACAACTTCTGCTTCTGAAGTTTATATTCTACCCATGTAAATGTGGTACTATTTTGATGTCATTGAAATGCATAATTGGTACTGAATTGCTTGCATTTTAATTTTTGATTGTCGGGCTATATTTTTGTTTGTGGCATTTTAACAAACAACGATGCTTTGGAAAGAAGACAGGTACTTTTTTTTTATAGACCACAATGTTTTCCTAAATTATAACTTTGTAAAATTTCAATGGGGGCAGCTGCTGCAAATCCATCCCTAATCATCATATTGGTGTAATATTGTCAGAGAAAGTATGCTTTAGATTCAAATAGTTCTTCAACATAACTTTTCAACTCAGAATCAAAATCTACCTCCGAATCGAATCAACAGTTGGTACCAATAAAAAAAAAAGAAGATACAGTAGCAATTCAATTATGTCAAATTACAACTCGTTTGAGTCTAAATTATGACTCATTCGTTGCCAGGGAGGTTGATAGTAAAAGGATGGGGGTAATTTAATGACACCCGATGGATTTTTAAGTTCTCCGGGGCGTGGCTCACCATCTCCATGGACTGAAACAAGGCTTTCAGTGTAGATAAGTAGGTGAAGGCAACGAGAATGAGTACGATGGCCTAAGATTTGGAGATCCTTAAGAACACGTTGGGTATTAGGATCATACAGGAGCAGGTGGCCAGGTGTAGTTTCAACAAAGATCTCATCATTGTTCCACACTCCAACTGGTCTCATCATTCCATGAAGCGGTCCGATGTTCAATTGCTTGATCCAACATCCCATTCCCTCCTCCTCCATCAGTACCCACACGGCAACTGATGACTGCTCAACTGATTCCCAGGAATCTAATGGCACTAGTGAATGAGAATAAATCAGAGCAATAGAGCCGTTGTACAACGTAAGAATCTCGTAGGCTGAGTCTTGGTGAATAAGTGGTGGCCCTTGAATCTCTTTGAACTCTTCTTTCCCCATGTCAAACGAAACCAACTTTCCATTTGGAGACCACCAGTAGTAAACACCATTCAAGTAGGAGTCAAAGCAAGATTCTGTCAAAGAATGCAGACAATCGGGAGCATCACCCTTGAAATCTTTCCATGAATCTGTGCTTAAAGTGTACACAGCAACATGTATAGGATCCATCCATGAGTCCCATTTACTGGTGTCCCCGTCATCAAATGTCCGAATCCAAACTACCTTGTAATCATCACTGGTGGGATCTAACCCGAATCCAAAGCCGCAGTGACAAGGGATCCAGTCACATGGAAACAATTTTGTGCGGCACAATGACAGAGCCCTGAATGCTCTAGTCGCGGGATTCCACAGACCAATGCTCTCACGTCTCTCACATATGCAAAAACACCATTAATAGGACCACCAACAAAATTATATGTGAAAAAGGATAGGCCCATATTGTGATAGGTGGGCCCTGTAAGCGTTTTGTCCGGGAACAAGACAATGTCCCACAGGTCCCTATTGTCATCACAGTAGTATACCACCAGACGGGAATTGTCAGTTGTTGTTGTTGTTGTCGTTGTTGTTGTTGTTGTGTTGTAAATGAATGCAGGACTATCTATCAAATTTTTCCAAAATTTGCAGACACACCTGAATCGCAACAAAAATTTCACGGACATTCTTGACAATATCTCGATCAGCACATCTTCTGCCAAATAGCCACTTTTGCTTTCCATTTGGCCCATTGAACTGTATTTGAAAGATGGGTCTTCCTCTTCTTCTTCTCAGAGATAAAGAGAGGGAGAGGCCTCTGGAATTTACTAAGGAGAGAAAGAGGTTTTTTTTATTTCTTTTTTGTGGTGGGGCGGGGCTTGAGGGATAGAATGAAGAAAGGGCAGTTATAAGAGTCTTTTTACGTCTCGAACATTTGTGTTCCTTCCTTAACTCCTAAGCAAACATACAATTGCAAGGAATTAATGCATTCACACTGACTAAGGCAATACACAAAATTGCATGGAATTAATGAATTCACACTGACTAAGGCAATACATAATTGCAAGGAATTAATGCATTCACAGTCAACACATATACAGCATTGCTTAACATTTAAGTTGTAAGAAAAGGTATGATTGAAACGAATTAAGCCATTCAGATGCAGTTAACAAATTTACAAGCTTACCACCGTGTGTGGTGGTCCAGTGGAGTACCGGCCGAATTTCTCACCCTCAGGTTGAGGTTTGAGTCATGAAGTTCAAATTGAGACTTGATGGTTGACCACAATGATAATCTAGCTAAGTTCGTTCCCAAAAAGAATAACGGGCGCGGTCAGGGCCTCGTGATCCCAACAATAAGGGGCCTATTGGGGTAATCTATGGGTGCTCTCCTTTGTCCCTACCCTTTTTTTTTTCAATAGGAAAAAAAAAACAAAACAAAAAAAAACAAATTTACTTGCTTACAACATTCATACTATGGAAAAAGGCAAGATAGTCTCTTATTAAATCTATCTATAACTTCTATAATAGTAAAGAAGAGTTCATTTCAAACGTCACAAATTGAAATCAACTCTCTCAATTTATCTCTCAATTTAAAAAAAAATAGAAAATGGTTAAGTTTTGATTGAAGTTTAGATTTACGGTTCAAATTTTATCTAAATTAATCTAATTTAATCCAAAGGTTCGTAATACATCCCACCCAAAACTTAATCCCTTTTACACGTTATCCAACCCAAGTCAGACGCCCATTCTCTCTCACCAACCCTCCATCTTCTCTCTCTTTCCTTTCTTTCTCTCCTATCTCTTTGTTCGGGGCACCATGGCATGGAGCAACTCACCATCGAGTCACTGACGCCACTCTCTCTCACCCAGTGTTTTAAAACTCGGCCCAGCCCGGCGCCTAAATCGGGTCGGTTCACCATCAGTCAAGTGCCTAAACCATGGAATGGAGCAACTCACCATCGATCAAGTGCTTAAATCGGGCCGGTTCACTCATCATTAGAATCGGTTAAAATTTGTTGAATCAGCTAAAACCCGCTGACCCATGCAACCCGGACGAGTATAATCAAACCGATCGAATCATGTCACTTTGTATAAAAGGCTAATATTTGGGCATTTTTTCCTAAATCCATAAATCGACTCTATCCAATAAGTCGATCGAAGTCAAACGACGAAGACTAGCCTCTGCCTCTTCGCAATAGTCGAGTAGTCGACGACCTTCTCAAGCTCTCAGCAATTAGCCCAGTCTTTCTCTCTTTCTCTCTCTAAGTTTTAGACTTTTAGATTCAGGCTCTCATCTCAAGTCTTAATCTCAGTTCTCTCTTTGTGTCTCTGACGCTGCGAACAAGCAAGGAAAGAAGGCTTCAAAGGTCCTTCCCATCAAAGCATTGACGACCATTGATAGCGGTAGGTACACTATACTCTCTCTCTCTACTCTCTAACATGTACACAGTTGACAGAATATGCCCTAATATGCTATATTTGATTTTTGATTTTTATACATTGAATCTTTGATAATGCCCCTCATTCTCTGTGTTAAATACATTGAATCTTTGATAATGCCCTAATCGGCTAATCTTTGATAATGCTCCATCGATGACACAACACAGCACACGGTCAAAGGCCCTTCATTCTCTATAAAATCCTATAAAACCCAAGTATACAACTGTTATAAATCTTTATGTGATGTGGTGTTACCCATGAATAGGTTGTAGTCATTTCTCATTGGGTTATTGTAGCATAATCTCACTGCCTTCATATTCTCTCTCTCTCTCTCTCTCTCTCTCTCTCTCTCTACATTTTCAACGCAAATTTGATTTTTTATTCCATTATTTTTTGTTATTTTTCATTTGTGTTGTTGTAGGATTTGGTTTTGATTTTTTGATCGGTGGATTTATGAGGTTTGTAAGGTTACATTTCAAATTTTGATATTGAATCATCCAAATTGATTGTTGATATACTGGGTATTGTGATTCTGAGTTTTTAATTTGGCATTTGACAAATTTTTTTGGTTTGATTTTTTGGGTTTTTATTTGATCTAATATACAATAAACATGGTTATTTTTATACTTATGATATTTTTTGGTATATTTTTTATTATTAATTTTTTATTAAATAACCGGTCTAACCAATGATCCATTGATTGAACCAGAGACCCGGTCTCTTTGTCGGGTTTATCTCCAGATCGGTTTTAAAACTATGCTCTCACCAACCCTCCATTTTATGTAGCTCTATAATTTATAATGTCATACAGGCCGAAAATAAATTTAAAAATCCAATACGGCTAATCTAACAATTCTCTCAAACAATATCTTGTGGAAAAAATGTTTGATGTAATCGTTACGCTATGTCAATAGTACCAAGTGGTGTAACCGCCCACTAATAAATAAACAAGTTAGCCAATGAGCCCTAGCATGTAATACATAATCACCTCTATGATAAAAAGTGAACCCCATTTTATCTATTTTATAATTTTCTTATTAGATAGTTATATCACATCAATACTATTGATATGTCGTAACCGTTACACCTAATATTTACTCTATTTCTGAATGGCAAAAGAAAAAAAAAATGTTGTGGTTGCGTGCATCTAAATGTATGAGTTCATAAAATTCTTCATTATTTTTTCTTTCAATTAACCTTCTATTGACCAGTGAAAGAAAAAAGTTATGGAGATTGACGATCAGGACTATCTTGGAAAAGTCTTTAGTTTGGATAACCATTAAAGTGTACAATATTTTTTTAAAATATTCATGAATATTTGTTAAAAAATGGTACATTCAGATGAATAGAGTAATACATTTTAGTATGAAAAAGAGATTGATAGAGACTTGGGAGGGGGAGGGAGACAAAGAAAGATTGACAGAGATAGGGGGAGAGAGACGGTTTTTTCCTTATGGAGAGGGGCAGAGAGAGAAAGGGGGGAGGGGGGAGGTGTTAAGTCAAACGCTAACATTGATGCACAAGATGAAGTCGTGTATTGTTGGTTGGTCTTTTGACTTTCATACTGAAGGGATAATTTTTAGTTCAAAATACAAGGTTTTGAGTTAAAATCAATTTTAATTTTCAAGGATTGCGAGCCAAGAAAAATTCAGCTATTGGGTCAAGTTATACCCTTCTACGGTTAGTTACATTCTTTTGTTGTGTTTTGTGTTGACTCTAAAGTTTTAGGATTGATCGTAAAAATTATGGTCTATTCTAAAATTTGAGGATCAATCGCAAACACCATAAAAAGGTGAAATGATCTCTAAAACGTATTACTCTCTGATACGATATTGAAGGGAAAAAGACACTTTTGATGTCGTAGTCTTATCTTTAAAATAGACTTGCCAGAGTAAATAAGTTGCATTAATTGCCCATGTGCCTGCCAAATCACCAAGATAATCTCAGAGAAAACCTATACTACGCCCTAGTTCTCAATGGAATCTTGATGGAGACATTCTGTCCAGTTGTTCTTCCCTTTATTGTCTGTGTAAGATAACATTTCTCTTTCTCTTTTTTTTTTTTTTGTTTTTGGGTTTCTCATTCTCATTTACTTGCCACTCAACAGTCGAGATAACATAAGACTAGGATGTAAATTTTGTGTGTCGTATCATGCATGTTATTTTGAGGTTTGAATTACAGATAACTAACACAAACGTCACTCACTTAATCTATCGTGTTAATCTATCTAAGACTGACACGTCCTGGTTATTAAAAAGATAACATGAACATATCGTGTTTAAGACGTTTAATATACAGATTGTGCATTGGTTAACAAGACCTAGGTATTACTAGTGTGATATGCTTATCATACATTCAATATTTGAGCTTACACGATATGAAAAACATAGAAACACGAACTATTCGGACGTTGTTTAACCTTTATAACATGCAAAATCCTGTCATATTTAACACTTAATACGTAAAATCAAAGACGGGCAGGGACGGGAGGAATTTAGGGTTAATCAATTGAACATGATTAATTGAACGTCAAGTTTGTGTGCTAGGATACTTTTGATTCAAATCCAAAATAACAAGATATATCCATGATAAAATTGACATTTCTAAAGGAAGAAGCCTACTGCAAAATATCTTCATAAGGATTCAATTGAGAACTAGGGAGCACTTAGATCAAAAAAATGAAAACGAAAACAAAAAACAAAAAAAGAATTAGGGTGTACCCTCGAGACTGGCTGTAGCAATATTTATATATATACACACACACACACACACACACACACACCACATATATATATACACACACAGATAATATATTTTGTTGTTAAATCTCTTATTTAAATTTTGAATTATCTTAATGCACCTTGATTCAAGCGTATTTTTTTTTTTTGAAAAGTGATTTTGTTTTCAAATTATATTTAATGCACCTTGATTCAAGCATTTTTTTTTTGAAAAATAGTTTTATTTTCAAATTAATTTAATATTCGAATAATATAATAGTATAACTATAACAGTGTAATAATAACAGTGTAACAAACACTGTAACAAAGACAGTATAACAAATACACTGTAACAAAAACAATGTTCAGTAGTTTTGTGTATATGGTAACAAATTCAAAACCGAGACGGACTATTTTAAATGAATTTATATGAAACTATATGTTTGACAAAATATAATAGTATAATATTTTGTGTAAATACTTACTACACTATTATTGTTATACTGTTACGTTGTTAGTGTTACAATATTACACTGTTACACTTTATATTGTTACACTATTACACTATGCGGATATTAAATTAATTTAAAAATA